CAGCAGACCACCAAAAGTGTTCATGACACACAAAAGAAGGTTATGAAAGCCCTCCCTAGAGTGCGGTTCTCAAACTTGGCATCAGAATCACCTGAAGGGCTGGTTCAAACACAGACTGCCGACACTGCTCTGGACTTGCCTCTGGGTAGGACTCAGGTGGGGCTCCAGAATTGGCATTTCCGCGCTTTTGCATCCCAGGCTTTGCAGATGCTGCTAGTTTGATCTTAAAAACACACACGTGAAAGCCATGGACCTAAACCCTCCTGATTCCAAACATCTGGGAAAAAGACCAGGTGATTCTAACGTATAGCCAGGTTTGAGAGCTGCTGAGCCAGCCCTTGGATTACAAGTCACTGGTATGCTTGCTTTCAGTCCCTCGCCCAGACAGAATTTCCTAACCACTGTGATTTTCATAACCTAGTAATATGAATCTTGGAAAGTTTTAAATTTACTATGCATTGCTATAATTATTTTCTCTTTACCTGTTTTTAGTTAATTCATTTCTAGTTTGAAATAGGAAGAACAGGGGCACCTGGGTGGCCCAGTCGGTTGAGCGTCCGACTTCAGCCAGGTCATGATCTCATGGTTCATGAGTTCGAGCCCCGCGTCGGGCTCTGTGCTGACAGCCTGGAGTCTGTTTCAGATTCTGGGTCTCCCTGTCTCTCTCCCCATTCCCCACTCATGCTCTGTCTCTCTCTCTCTCTCTCAAAAAAAAAAAAAAAGAATAAACATTAAAAAAAAACAAAATAGGAAGAATGAGAGTTACAGTTTGTATATTAGGCAAATGATGAACTTTTTAGGTTGGTCAATTAAACTAAGTAAAATAATTTTTTTTCCCACCATCTTTCCCATAACCTGCCCTCCCCCTACCATCCCACCTAGGAAAATAGAAAAGAATACCTTTGGTGTTGAATTTGCAAATTAAAAACAACAGAAAATAGTATTTAATTATTTCTGTATAAAGTTAGCAAATAAAAAGGAAATCATTTGAAGTAGAAAGTAGTAGTTACATTTTTTCTACTGATTCCCATATCTTATCTTTGTTGTTTTATGTTAAGGCTTTTTCCACATAGTTGAAAATTTGAGGACAATGACTGGAAATATGGGCAAGAACAGGAATATTTTTTGCCTACCAATTTTTAAAACTAATATGAAACACTGGTTCTATATTTTCTATGTTTCAGTTTTCTAAGACCCAGTGTTAAATTGTGGATACGAATTTGTGGTGGTACTTACACAGGATATTAAATCATTATGCTCTGTTTATTTGGAAGGCTTATTAAAACAATATTCCCTCCCCATCCCACCCCCAACATTTTCAAAACCCCTCTGAAATGGAAGACCTTGCAATAATTCCATTTCTTATTTTGGATTTGAGAATGAGAGGCTCAACATGAGGTTTCTGACATTTGAATTGAGGGCATCTTGCACAGGACTATTGTGGGATTTAAAAATTACCAGCAACTCCTCACAAGCAGGCTAAGAGGGGTATGTATAACCACCTCTATTTTAAGACATTAGCCTTTCCTAAATTCTGCAAAGCTGCACAGACCTGATGACTTCTAGTTTTTAATGGCTTAGTGGGGCAAGTCAACCACATAGTTCATTTATTGGGTTAGTAACGAGGTAGTGTGCTTTCCTAGGAAATGTTTTAAAAATCAATACTCTAAGTTTCTTTAACATTTATTCTTTCATCAGTGTAAAATGTTTTCTTTCATACTTTGATCAGAGACATGAAAGTGTTATTTAAAGTACTTTTTTACTTACGCATGCTATAAATGGCAGGGAATGAAAATGCTTCATTTAAAAGAAGGAAGGCTGATGAAATCCACCTCATATGATTTACTAGAATCTTTGGGGAATTGCATTTTGTACCCTATCTGCATAAATAATCTTGAGAGACCACAGTGCTTTCTTAATAAATTGACTCCTAAATTACTTTCCACTGTACCAAACACATCATTTTAAAGTCACTAAGTTTTCTTTCGGGTACCATGCGCCAGTCTAGACACATTCTCATTAAGGCTATAACTTTCGTTCAATTACTAGGGCACTGTGGAGACTATTTAATAAGTGCAGGCCCAAAGATTAAAGTCTTTGAAGAGATTACCTGACTCATTTCTGAAGAAAGCAAGTGCCTGACCTTCATCAAAAATATTGTATCTAAGGCAATGGGATGTACGATTTGCTTTATACACACTAAAAAGTCTAATTCTTTGTCCCTGTCTCCTGCTGGAAGGGCTGTGATTCATAGGAAATGAGGTCAGTGAACTAGACAGTAAAATCTGGCTGGGAGAAAAACATGTAAATAGATAGTATACAGTTGTGTGGAATTGGCTGTCATCCACTCAACTCAAGCCATTTTCTAGAAAGCCTTCCTTGACATTCCCAAATTGAGTGGTTTTCTAATAGCATATTGCATTTATCACGTTATATTGTCATTATCTACTTACGTGTCGATTCCCAACATATCTGAAGTAAAAACCATGTTTTACTCATCCATGGAACAGACACAACATTGTTGCTAACGCTTCAATTTCTGATCCAGGAGTAATTAAAATAATACATTTATATTAACAACTGTTAAAAAGTAATAAGATATATGTTCCCTTTCCAACACATTCTCTCGTGCAATTGCAGGAATCAGTATTGTGCTATCCCTCAACATATTTCACCTAATTTTTAAAAACTTCTGTCAAAGAGGATGTTGATCCTTTGGTCTTTGTAAATGATTCATCTTGAACCCATATATCTCCCCGGAAACTATTTTAGTTAAGATTCACAACCAGAATGAAAACACACTCCTGTGTCTATAACCATATAATGATGCTTGGCTAGATGGTGAATTGGAACACAAGCTCCTGTGCATTGAGAGCTCCATCATCTAGATCATTTGGATTTGTCACTTGTGGAAATAAGGTCAAGTTACCAATCTCCTTAGCTTAATCTTTACTAAATTCCTGAGTCTATAAAAGTGTTCCTAAGAATTACTGACAACTTCAGTAGTGACAGCAAACAACTTCTTCGGGCCTCACCTGTATGAACTCACTTTTGAACTAAAATCGGAATTAAAGTAGGAATCTGGAATCAGTGCCACTTACCCAGTGCTTTACTTGAAGTGGGAATAAATCAACAACTGTCAGTTTCAGTGTTCTGTTGAGTCTTCATCAAAAAACATGATTCCCTCTACAGCCTACCCTCCTCCAAGACCCTTTATGTCTCAAAGCCTCCCATTTTGAAAAAGTTTTTGTTAGAATACAGGCTATGATGTATTATAAAAACAATAATATATATAAAGTGCAGGAAGCTTCTGAATAATGCACATAAATCAAATGGATGATTATTTACATAATGGGCGACAAATCACATCCTCCCTTTGCTTGTTGTAGGAATTGTCTTCCTGATGAGGCTGACATCACTTGAATGAGGCTTGAAACTGCGGAGTTCACAATCTTAATGACAGCATTTTAGGAGGTAAAGGGAGTTGAAAACTCTCAATTCAAACTGCAAAAAATTATGGGGTGTATCTGATACCCTGAGTAGGACCTCACACATTTTCCTATGGTAAAATCTCGCTATGTGGTGGTTAGGTGCTAGCCTGGCATTAGTATACAATGTAACTCTCCCAGTCAACTAGAAATGAAACAGCTCTTACAGATTACACCAAGACCTAATCACTCATTAATGTTATTCTTGTGGAAAATATGTCTTGGGCTAAAAAAATAAACATTTTGAAATAAATTTTGAAAACCTGTGTATCTCATGAAGACTATATGATTATTAATCAACTAAGAAGGAGTCCCCTTATAAAGAAAGCACTCAATTACTTTTGATTTTGAGGAGCTAGGAATAGCTGGGATAATTGCCAAATGCTGAGGGTATGTGTGGATGTGGACTTAAATTATTTTTAATTTTATACAAAATTCCCCAGTTCAGGACAGAATAAAATGATAATGAGTTATAGTTGGGCAACTTTGGGCATTTAGATAGGTAGGTATTTCTATATTTATATGCACACATATATTTATATATAATGAATAATTTATTACTTCAAATGTTTATTTAGTACCCATATTTGGAGACAATGATAAGTTTGGGTGTTAGCAATGAAGTAATGGATAAACTAGGCATACTTCCTACACTTAGATTTTATAGTTTAATATGATAAAACAAAGTGGTAAATAATATAGTGCTACCAATGACCAAATAACCATGTGTAATCTAAAATGGTTAAATCTCCCAAATTGTGATTTGGTAAATCACAAATACGAATGGATCACAAAGCTGAATTAGAGTCGACTATACAACTAAAAAGAAGCAAATTATTGCTACTGTTCCTTTCTATTTTAAACCTCATTACTTTTGAGATTACGGGAAGGTAAAAAATGAAATTGTATATTTGATGCAACATGTTATGACAAACTGAAAGTATAATAAATTTTAGTTGAGTCATTGATATGGAATTATCATTTGCACTACAATTCTTGAAAAAGTCTTGAAACTTTGCATGTCTTTTCTCACAATAATTATACTGTTACAGATTTTCCAAAGGAACTATTGTAGAAATAGTTATAGCTATTTGCTATAGAAAGATATAGCAAAAACATGTTCTCTAGGGACCATTGTGATTAGTTATATATATTGTGATATAGCATAAAATGGAATATTTTATTTTCTTAAAAATGATAGTCTATAGAAATTTAATGACATGAGAAATGCTCATGTGTAAGTATGCTACAAAACAGAATAGTATAATATTTTGTATGATTTTATAATACAGTATTTCTATATACTTATATTTATATCATATTTATAAAAAGGATGTTAAGTGGTTATTTTTGAGTATAGCATTAATCAAGATTTTTATTTTCTTCTTTTTGCTGACATGTATTTTCTAAATTCATAACTTCCATAAATTTTAAATGTCTTAATAAACCCAGTTTCATACCAATAAGAAAGTTCGAGACTTGCTTAAAACAGAGCTGAGTAGAATTACTTACCCTAATCCCAGCAACTGACAGACATCATTTGAAATCTGTGTGGTCCAGTTGTCAGCACAAGCTTCATGCCATGTGCTCAGGATTCTGAACTGCACCAAACCATTGTTGTTCCTGGTGCCATTGAAAAGACGCACTAAAGAAATTAGATCACACACAGGGTCATTTTGACCTAAGTTGTTAAAAGTAAATGATGGGTTGTAAACTACATGTGCAATGTTCTTAATGTTTAGAGTTTAGAGATTGTAATTTTTTTAAAGAGTGTGTTAGAGGGCGCCTGGGTGGCTCAGTCCATTGAGCGTCCGATTTCAGCTCAGGTAACAATCTCACAGTTCTAAGCTGGATCCCTGTGTAGGGCTCTCTGCTGTCAGTGCAGGGCTTGCTTCAAATCCTCTGTCCCCCCACTCCCGCTCTGTCCCTCCCCCACTCACGTGCACTCTCTCTCTCTCTCTCTCTCTCAAAAATGAATAAACATTTAAAAAAGAGGATGTTAGAAAGCTTAAGTTGAAAAATATAAATTTGATAGACTTTACATTGCTCTTTTCATATAACTACAAAAATGAAAAAGGCAGAGAGATATGGAAGTTTAGTGCATATCAAAATAGAAAATAAATGGAAAATAATATTTATTGTGAGGAGTATGTCTCACAAGCTTGGTCTCTAAAACAAGGAAAATTCAAGTTCATAGGCACTTTTTTTCCTACTTCTTTCTCTAGAGGCTATTTTCTTTGGCCTTGTTCTTATGCTATTTGGTTTCCATCTCTTCCCCACCATCTTACAAGCATTTTGGATACAGTATAGATGCTATTAGTGGCTAGGTAGGGACTGGGCCAAGCTAAGCCAGTTTATCAAACAGGTAAAACATCAGAAACAATAGTTTTACCCACAATGGGTAAATTTCATGTTATTGTTTACATTTTTCCCCCTATTCTGAGAAAAGCAACAGCATTGTTAGAATTAGACAGACTTAGGTTGAAAATGCAACTCTAGGGGCGCCTGGGTGGCGCAGTCGGTTGAGCGTCCGACTTCAGCCAGGTCACGATCTCGCGGTCCGTGAGTTCGAGCCCCGCGTCAGGCTCTGGGCTGATGGCTCGGAGCCTGGAGCCTGTTTCGGATTCTGTGTCTCCCTCTCTCTCTGCCCCTCCCCCGTTCATGCTCTGTCTCTCTCTGTCCCAAAAAAATAAATAAAAAACGTTGAAAAAAAAAATTTTAAGAAAATGCAACTCTAGCCCCTACTGTGTATGTGATCTTTGACAACCACTTAACTTCTCCAAACCCCAGTTTTCTCATGGCTAAAAAGAGCTAATTCTTCTTATGTTAAGATTGTTTTGCAGCAATCAGATATAGTGCATGGCATGTAATAAGCAGCACTAAGTATCTGCTTAGAAATAAAAGCAAGATATAGTGAAAGTGGCCACAACTCATTATAGAGGTTCGGAAGCAGATGAGACTAAAGACTGAACTAAGCAGGAGGAGAAGTAGATACTGAAGAACCAAGAATGCAAAGGAGCAAGTGTAACATAGTCAGTTATAAGTAAACGTGAGGGTGCCTCCATATGCAGGCAAAGGAGTATCATAGTCAATATGGGTGGTGCTAGAGGGCCTGGTGTGGGCCATTGTCTCCCAGTACTACTTTATGCTTTCTACCTGAATATGGGTTGTCCTAGACTTAAAGTTACTAAATGTAGTCAAATTTATATAAATAAACTAACAATAAACAGGGGTCTGCTTGTTAATTTTTCTCCTAACCAGAGTGGCATCCAAGGTGCGGAAGTCACAAGGGGAATGATGATACACAAAAGGAACAAAACACGTCCTGATAAATACATTTCTGATCTTTCTTTTACATTTGGAGGATCCAAGTGTAGAGGCTAAAGTGATAAGTGTTTTCTTAAAATCAACACATACCGCAATGTGCTTCATCTGAGCCATCCTTACAGTGCAGATGACCGTCACAGAGATTCACCAGTGGAATACATTCTCCATTCTTACACTGAAAATGGTCTTCCTTGCAGGGCTCTATGGGGAAAGAATGTTAACATATAGGATAAAAAGGTGACAAATAGATGATCCTGTAATATCCATCCCATTTCTGCCTCTTTACACATCAACCTTTTACTACAGTGCATTGTTGACCTCGATCTAATATCAAGTGAGACTATATACACTTAGTTGCTCAAAACACCTCCACAATAGTAGTGTCAAAGCCAGAGATGTGGCTTGAGGAAAGGGTGGATAAAACCTTAGACATCTTCTTTATTTTTGTTTTAATTTTTCTTCATACTTCTTTATTTTTGAGAGAGAGAGAGAGAGAGACAGAATGTGAGCAGGGGAGGAGCAGTGAGAGAGAGGGAGGCATGGAGTCTGAAGCAGGCTCCAGGCTCTGAGCTGTCAGCACAGAGCCTGACACAGGGCTCGAACTCACAAACTGTGAGATCATGACCTGAGCTGAAGTCAGACACTTAACCAACTGAGCCACCCAGGCACCCCTAGGCATCTTCTTTACAGCAGAGCACAGAGCAGTTCCAAGGGATGGCTGAGAGGTCTAGGATATACCCCTCCCTCATAAACTCTGTTAGTTTCTCTTCAATAAACTCCTCCACCTCATATAAATATTCAAGCCTCAACCTTTGGAATGTTACACAAGCATAGAAGATCTGTTGATTTCGCCCTCCAAATGATACATCCAAACCTACATGATTTAAAAATGTGTGGGGCGCCTGGGTGGCGCAGTCGTTAAGCGTCCGACTTCAGCCAGGTCACGATCTCGCGGTCCGTGAGTTCGAGCCCCGCGTCGGGCTCTGGGCTGATGGTTCGGAGCCTGGAG